AGAAGAAGATCTATCATCTAGAAGACTTAGTTGAGTATGTCCTATTTAAAACACATTATCAAACATAAAGATTGAGATTCTAAGTAGTTTAAATACAGAACGCATCCTTTATTACACTTTAAGTGGTGTAATGATAACAATAACATTAACCCACATCAGGCAACTGACAACGGTGTCTCTAACGCTACTTGCAAAAATATTACGGCAAGATAAATTGTTGTCCTTCCTTACAGCACTAAAATTATATTCATTACATATCATGTGTCAGTCACGCATCGGCTTTTATGGACCATTGTAAAGTTTTATGTTATATTTGTTGTTTTTTTTTAACTTTAAAGCTTCTTTGACCGAGATAAAACGAGGGTAATTATATCAGCTTGGGGAAAATATATATTTACGCATGTACACATAGGTAATATACGTGTTTTTTTTTAACGAGAGTTTGAGTCGACCTTTATCAGTTTGCAGGTGCACGGTGTATACTGTATATTTTTTATTTACAATATTTTGTAATCAGAAACTCGTCGCATCCTTTAATCAAACGTATGTACATCACATGAGCAATAGAAAGGAAAACAACTTGGATTATTAAAATCCAGGGTCAGGATAATACTCGTGAAAGCGTTGACTGAATAAGAACCTATAAAGATGATGAAACAGATTATAAAGTAGAACAAGAACGTGACAGACCATCAAGATTGTTGCTACTTATATTGTACTTAATATTATAGCGGTTTAATCTGAATCCGTTTTGTTAAAGTGAATCCGGTTCTGCGATAGTCCACGAAATAAAATTTTGCTTTTTAACGATCTTATATTTTAATTATTTTTATTTATAAATAAATAGTCTCCGTAAAAATAACTGCTTTATTATAGGTTATTACATACCTTAGGTTGTCGTTATTTCTCCAACACATGCATATAGGAAACCAATATAAATAAATAAAATATTCATCCACCAAAATGCCGTTTGTAATAAATAATAAGATTTTTTATAATATATACGTAAAGCTAGCTACTCTTTTGACATGTCAATGACATTGTAATGTGACGTATCTGAATGACATTGAAAATGTACGTCGCAAATAGTCACATTTACACTGTCAATTTAATCATACAGGTAGGTAGCTACGTCTCTTATAACCTTAACGTCAAGGGATATTATAAGGAGTTCGAGAATCGAGATTGAGGGTAGTAGGACGACGACAATATAGGATTGCCTAAAAATGATATAAAAAATCATGAAACAGAAAATACAGTGAAGTGAAAGCTAAATATGCTGCGCCGCTTCTAAATAATGATAACATGGCGGGAGAATTATGATGATCACCGATTAGTGTATCTCGTGTAAAAATACCGGCGTAAAATAACAGTTTAATACTGCTGTGTTTCGTATAGTGAGCGTAGAGAACTGGAAATCCTCTTAAATAGAAACGAGACATCTTAGACCTTAGGGGTGATAAAGGGTGTAGATGTCTATGCGCCTAAGCATCCACTTGCCATCAGGTGGACGGTGTGCTCGTTTCTCACCCGTATTCTATAAAGTAAAACATAAATATTACAAAATATAAAGGCCGTCAAAGGTTCAATTATTGCATAATCAGAAAGCTCTGTAAGCCAAGTATCATGCAATAGGAAAAATATCTGTTTAAATCGACTTGGAGGTTGTTTAATTTTTATCTTATAGCTAAAGGTTCCGTAAAATATTTACAAAGTATTTTACTATTCAATTATTTTCAACAGTAAAAGTATAGTGGACATGTTTGTCGTGAACTTTAATTTTAGAACTGAAATGGTCTGGAGGTGCTTATATAATTTTTATGTCGTCGATTTTTTGCAGATAAAGAAATGTTTATAAAAATTAACAAAAAAAAAGTATATTTCACAAAGACAGACATTTCGTTCAACGACTTTCATCCATCCATAAGTCCACTGCTGAACATAGGCATCCCTCATATATTGCCTAAGGGAGGGATTTTGCCATAGTTGCCACACTAGGCAAGCGGATTGGCAACCGCAGATTTTTATTATATTGAGTTATTATCAGGACGATGCTGGTGCCCATCTCCTGTTTCAACTAATTCATAGTTGCTTATCAGAACCTATATTACCTATGGATGCCATACACGATCCAGTTTAAAGCGCTTAAAGCGGCGGGCGTCCAGTTTGCAGTGCATCTATATAGACCACTCACGTGCAAGTTCGTCATCTAGTTTGAATGATGCCGCACCACTTGAAACCATGGCGTCACCAGTAACGGACGACGACGTGTCAGCCATCCTAGGTTTAAAGCTCCGACTAGCGTCATACTTGACCGCTCATTCACACGTCTTTATCACGTCGGCAGAATCGATTTTGCTTCAAGTAGACTTGTCATGCACACTTTACCGGACGCTGCTTCAAGGGCGCTGCAAACTTGACGGTAAACTGGATCGTGTATGGCACCCATTACCTATTTCCGCCGCTAAATAGCAGTACTTGCAACCGGTCTGAAGGCTGTGAGGTATTCCATCTTAGTCCTTAAAGATGATAACGCACCTGCAGCCTTCTTTGTTTGAGATTGGTTGCAGGTGTCCACGAGCTCGGTAGCCACGTATTATCAGGTGGATTTTAAATTCGTTTGTCTCTTCAATTATATAAAAAGCTATACAAGTTAAGGTTTGTTGTGTATGGAATATGGAAATGTATGTTAACTTTTACGTAATTTATGTGAATGTTTTATTTATGAATTATTGTGCAAATTCGATTCGGACCCTGAATTAATACCGAATTATTGTATTATCATTAATAAACCTCTGACATTGATTGTCCATTAAATGCCATTGGGAATATTAATTTTGTATATTTTTGTTTAAATTCGATCTTGTCGGCATTGTTAAGAACCTTGAGTAATAGACAAAGCTCTACGAGATTCCAGAATATTTGTTACTGTATAGGAAGTGTTTGTTGGTATTTAAGAGAACTAGTGTATATTCGGTCCACACCGGTTTTGTCGTAATGAGTGCACCGCAGCCGCCCGGAGCCGTCTGGCTGGATGCGCGCTAAGTCCGGGTGTTGTGAAATGTGAAGGCCGCCCGTCGATGGTAACTTAAGTCGTCAGTCCCTGTGCCATTTAATTTGGACCTAACTACTGCCATTAGCCCCGGTCCATACAAACTTGTTTACGCATTTCTTAGTGATTTTTTAGACTGCACCAAACAATATGTGATCGTTAAATAAAGTAACAGGTGCTGAGAATTGCGAACCGGATTATTTTCCATATGTTTGATACCCTTGTATGTATTTTATATTCAGTTTTATGAACAGGAAAAGCATTTTTGATTGATTACCGATTTTCGTAAAATTATTGCATTACGTATGCAGTTGAAATAAAATGTTTATTATTGAATCTGTCATGCATAGCTTTTATGTAAATCAACGCATTTTTTTTTAAATTACTTGTATTATAACAATATTTACCTAATTAGTTATTGCAGTCTATATCAACATAATCGCGGATCTGATCAAATTTGGACAACACCCGTGACTCAGAATGGTTGCTATAAAAACAACATTCCACTTTTAGTACATATTCATTAGAAAAGAATTGAATAGAATGATTTTATGCGATATAGATTATTACATAATACTTATTGAAAGTTATTTTTTTATTGACTTACCACTGGTTTGGAAAAACCTCTGTCCTGTACACACAGGACACCCATTCATGTAAAATTTACTTTAAAAAAAGTCCCGCGGGTTTCTTGCTGGTTCTTCCCAGGATAGAGGTTTTTTCGAACCAGTGGTAAAGTAAAACATGACTCAATTAGAATTAAACATGTGATCTGTAGTGTATTGAATAAAAAAAATTATTCTAGTCTATTGTATTGTATTCCTGAGAAGAACCAGCAAGAAACCCAGCGCGATTAAAAAAAAATATATCTCTAATATTTTTACATGCCAGAAATTTGGTTGTACAGTGTGTTCTTCATTATTTTATTGATAACTAGCTATTCTCCGCGACTTCGCCCGCGTGTTATTTGGGGTTTTAATATTTTTGCGCAGAACCTAATTCTTTTTCTAAAATTAAAGTAGCCTAAGTTACTCCTTGTGTCATCAGCTATTTGCCAGTGAAAATCCCGTCAAAATCGGTCCAGCCGTTTCGGAGATTAGCCGTAACTAACAGACAGACAGACAGACGGACAGACAGACAAAAACTTTAAAAATTGTATTTTTGTTATTAGTACCGTATATACTTTCACATGCATTTAGTAAAAAGCTGTAATTTAGATATTACAAACAGACACTTATTTTATTTATTTGTATAGATACACAATCACGTACATAATTAATCAACGGACATTGACCAACGTTATAAAATTGAACAAATAGTAGACAAATATATTTACTTGTACTTTTATATACAGACATGTCTGTTATTAAGGATAAAATGTCCAAAGCGACGTATTAAAGACTAACTTTATCGATTATAATGAAATGTTTATTTTATTTTCTTTGGTTATGGACTTTAGTAGGTATTTTTCTTAAGTATTTTGGGCAAATATTATTATTAATAATTACATAAATTATTCTATATTGTTAAAATCAAAAAACTTTACTTCAATTATATATAACTACTATTTAAAACTAATAGATAAAATGATACTCTCATCAGAAAGTATTTATTAAGTTTTGCGATCGTTAGTTTAATATTATTATCATAAAATATAACCTGTGACAATTCGGGAATAAATATGAATCTAACAATACACTTCAAAGTTCATCAAGCCGCTTAGGCTCCAAGAGATTACAAAAGAACATACACATACACCAAAAAACATAACCCTACGACTGGAGCATCGCGTAAAAAGGCCTTTGTAACAAATCAGCAAGGTCGCTTAAAGTACTAACATTTTATCTCAACGCCTCTATTCAATTGCTGCTAGATGCAGGTTTTCTACCGGTGTGTTTTCTTATCAACAATGCATTGTTTTATTTTATTAATCCTATGCATCACTCACCGAAGTTTTGGTATCCATTGTTTGAGTGCTATCAAATTCCACGGTTTTCCGCTGACTGCTCACTAATAACGTCACTAAACACTGTATTCACTTGGTCCACATGTCTAATGAAGTTGGACATAGGCTCTTCAGTTATTTCGATTTAAGCGTCTCCGTGTCTCTCTCGCCCTCTCCGTGTGGCCAGCGCTTTACACGCGCCTGATCCAAGCGGCAAAGCGACTAGAGTCGTACTGAGAGTGTTGTAACAATCACCAACGTTTAAATATGAGATTGCAAGCCGCCAGGCTCCAGGCTTTTTTAGTTTTAATGATGCAGTTAATACCTTTGAAGAAACTAAGTTTATTATTTATAAGATTAAAAAGACTTCAGTATAATTGTGTAAGATGAAAGACATTATTTCTCTGATACGGATAGAGGATAGAAGAAGGGTAGGGTTATTGCTACTTTTGAAATAAAGTTAGGTATATAGATTTTATAAAAATTGTTATGAAAATTCATTAAATACTTTACAATTATTATTTTATCTCAAATACAAAAACAAAATCACACAGTTTATTTTTTCTTTCAATTTAACGTATTGCTAATACCTGGTATCCGAAGAGAAGAGACTTAGTCTGCAGTCGCATTGTCCTGTCCGTCGTTAGTTTTTATTGTACAGGAAAATCACAATTAATTAAAGAAGCAATACAGAAGCGAAGTCACGTTGTGAAGCAGCGTGTGACGGGCACTCGTGACAGTTCCCTTTGCCCGAAGCAGCGTTTGCGCAACCTCACGAGGACAAAACGGCCATATAGTAAGCCTTTGCAGGAATCGGAAAATGAGCTGGCACCACCTTGATTCAATATGCGACATCTAAATTACTCGTTTCGGCACAATTCAATGATTTTTTAATTCTATCTGACCTCTATGAATCATTCCAATGCATCTAGTAATCTTTTCTTATAATTACATAAATCATTAAAACATTTTTGACTTCATATTTAAATGAACACGATACTCCTAGAACTGTATTATTGATATTTGTATAAAACTAATTTAAAGGATTTTATCGTGTTTTAATTTTAATTTATTACAAGTACCGACTTTTTCAGTGCATTATAATTTTATAACATAACACTCAATGTTATAGTTAACTTAGGCTTCCTTCAGTTTCGGTTTGCACAGTAAATATCTCGAAGTATATCAAAAGTACGACTACTAAAAGGGCAGAATTCCTTTTATTATCATTATTGATTGCCTCTCATTAATACGAATTACCCTAGCATTTGATTTTAAATAATAATTAGGTACTGGAGGAGGCCATGGGACATAATTCGTTATCAGTTAAATAATTTTTAGAATATACCAAGTTATATAAATGCATACATTGATATGTTATAAATAAGAAAAATGTAATGAAAGTATAAACGAAACAGTTAATACGAGTTAAAACGAGGGCGACACTGAAAATTTTTTTACAACTGGCCACTTGTAAACGATATAATAACAAAATAAGTTCAAATTTTGAGAATGGAACTCTGCCAATATTATTGTGTATGTATTTTATCAATTTGTCATTTGTTTACGATTTGGCGGCCAACTGAAAATTGTCCATGTCACGTTAGCATGAATTAACCGCGAGTACAATGATTTTTTATGACTTTCGATGTCATTTAAGTCAACAAGAAAGTTATGATAAGACTTTAATTGGCCTTTCACGATGAAGTTCCATCTCGTGCCACTGTTTACAACTGGTTTAATGAGTTTAAACGTGGTTGCACTAACCTCACCGATGATCTGCGTGTGGAACGGCCTTCTACGGCGACATCAGTGTTTGTGACGTATGATAGAGACTGACAAAAGAGTGACATATCAGCAGATTCGGACAAGCTCAGGCATCGGTATAAGTCAAGTGCACAAAATCCTCCTTCATGGAGGATTTTGTGCATTTAGAGTTCAGGATGCGTTGTGCCTGGTGGATACCTCATAATTTGACAGAGGCCCAAAAACTCCGTCGTGTTGATTGGTGTCGTGAAATGGTTCAAAGATTTAACGGAGGTGACTCAAATGCTGTGTTCGACATATCCTGAGATTAAAAGAATCTGCTGTCTGGGTGTTGCCAACTAAAGTGAAGAGAGGTCGAAGCGTGGGAAAAAAGATGGTGGCCTCGTTCTCCGAAAGGACTGGTCATTACGCAACAATTGTTTTAGAGTATCGAAAAACAGTTACTGCAGAGTGGTACGCTAACAATTGTTTGCCACTTGTCTTGGAAAAAGTTCGGGATCCTCCTTCACCACGATAATGCCTCGTCGCACACCGCCAAGCAAACAATCGACTACTTGACGACGTCAGACGTGGAATTACTGGGTAAGACGTAATAAAAGTAATAACTTGCTAGTTTGTTCAGGTTTTGAGTTTCAAAGAACTTTAAGTGTCACCCTCGTATAAATGTTATACTATAATAGGGGCAATAGTTCTATATTTTTTTTACAGAATTAGGGTAGGACATCTACATCTTTCCTCGATTAAGAATCAAATGCAGGTGCGTGGCATTGGGTAGACAAAAAATTAGATGGGAATATATTTAGTGCATATTTTCAATTGACGAGCAAAAAATAGTTATGGTGGGGTGAACGTGAACTTTTTGTATTTGTATCGCAATTTAATTAGTGAGTGCCGTATACATTTTTAAAGAATTTGTAAAGTTTGTCGCGTCATGTGTAAATGATAGAAAATTGTTAATTGAAGTTGAAACACAGCATTCACAGTAGTTGTTTTATCAAAACTACGAAATTTTGACGCGTACGTAATACGTAAATCGGTCATGTTACTTATGTATTTATAATTGGCACATAATTATAAAATATATTACTATCTCTGAGCTGCTTACTGAGTCAAAGATTTGAAACTAAGGTGAAGATAAAACACTATATTATAATTTTTATCTTTCGGTTTCGGTTGTCTTGTGTCCATTATAGCCATACCCATACTCAGAGATGGAAAACATGAAAATAAAAGGTCAATATAATCTTGATTACATACAGTAAACATTAAGAAACCGCTATAGCTCTGTACTAAGTAATCATCGATAATATCGATAAAATGCAGTTTGAAACTCTATATTTATATTATTAAAGTTTGTAATATGTATAAATTCCAAGCACGCCAGCTTCCATTAGAACGGGACAGTAATCAGCGCGTAATCGTGTGAAGTAATTATAACACAGTACTAATAAGCGCAGTCGCTACAAGGTTTTTGTAAAAAATAATTAGTTAAAGCAACAAAAGATATAATGTGAAGGCTTGCTTAATTTTTCAATCCCACGCTCGACTACGAATTAATTGGAATATAATTATAACATCAAAATTTTACTCAGAAATTATGATGATGATATAGTCTACACAGATAGTATCACAAGTAGAAGTGTCAAATTATTATTTTTTTTACATGGTAGAGCCATGCTGCAACTATATTATGGTTTTAGCACGAATGGGTCGGCTCGAGCCGGGTTAGTACCACAACCTCACAGAATACCGGCGTGAAGTAGCTCTGCGTTTCGTCTGGTGAGTGCAGGTGACCGGATGCCCGATTCCCCCCAGGGTACCAGCACCCCTGGAGAATCCCTCGCTGAGCATCCACGACCATGCTACTCCACTCCTGAGCGTGGATGCTCAGGCTGCCCCGCGTATTCAGGGCGGGGGGGGGGGGGGGACAAAATTCCGCTCAACACAATAACTGCTCGGGGCAAACTGAGCAACAAGACCAAGGCGACGCCTGCCACGCTATCCGTGAATTTCTGCAACATCAGGGGACTTCACTCTAACCTAAACGCCGTCCACCACCATCTCGAGACGGCGAAGCCGGCCTTGCTCTTTCTGACCGAGACGCAGGTTTCCTCTCCGGCTGATATTTCGTATCTCTCCTACCCGGGGTACAAATTGGAACACTCCTTTGTGCCTCGGGCTGCAGTTTGAGTATACGTCAGAGAGGGCATCTGTTCTCGACGCCTCGGCAGTCTTGAAGGTTCGGACCTGTCCTTCCTTTGGCTACGCGTTGATAGCGACGACCATCCGCGCGTCTGCGGGTGCCTCTATAGGTCCCATAGCGGTAATGCCGAAACAGACCGACTCATCGACCACGTCCAAATGGCTACAGATTCCTTGCTACAACAGGTCCCATCCGCAGAGACCGTGATCCTTGGCGATTTTAACGCCCACCAAGCCGAATGGCTCGGTTCATGTTTAACCGATCATGCGGGGCCTTGGCATATGGTCTAAAACAACTGGTTACTTCGCCTACGCGGATTCCAGATGTGGAGGATCATGCACCTTCCCTGTTGGACCTTCTGCTGACCTCTAATCCGGACGGATATCAGGTTTCCAAAGATGCCCCTCTCGGCTCTTCGGACCATTGTCTGATCCGGAGTGTGGTGCCACTCACGCTCCCCTCGCGGTTGCGTTCAGCAGGTTGCCGCCGTGTTTGGCATTACAGGTCGGCGGTCTTGCTAATACTGGGAATGGATGATACAGGGAATGGAACTATTTATTCCATCATCTGTGGTACCCATCGGAGGCAAATCTCAGCTTTGGTCGCTCCTGTAAGACTGCATTAAGCAGTAAGCAGGAGTGCTATTAGGCCTGGGCTGAAGCTTCGGCGGCTCAGGATGTAAACACCAGCATCCTTTAAAAGAAGTATAACTTCGCCTCCAGGTCCTTCAAACGAGTAATTGTCAAGGCAAAGTCAGACCACATAGGCAGAATTGGCGAGAAAATAGTTCGCCTTCCTTCGGGAGTCCGTGCATTCTGGTCTTTCGCCAAGGCTGTCCAAGGGAATTTCTGTAAACCTTCACTACCATCTCTGCACAGGGTGGACGACTCACTGGCCCACGCCGCAAAAGAGAAAGCCGACCTTTTAGGCACCCTTTTTGCGTCCAACTCGACTCTTGATGACGGGGGGAACACACCGCCGACCATCCCGCGGTGTGAGTGCTCCATGCTGGATGTGCTCTTCTCACAGCGATCGGTCAGCAAAGCACTCCTCTCCCTAGACACCCAAGTCGAGTGGGCCTGACGGAATCCCCCCAATTGTGCTGAGGACGTGTGCTCCGGAGTTGGCACCGGTTCTAACGCGTCTTTCCTCCCGAAATCATGGAAGACAGCTTTTGTCCACCCGATCCCTAAAAAAGACGACGGCTCAGACCCGTCCAACTACAGGCCTATTGCCATCACCCCCTTGTTCTCCAAAATAATGGA